CCCCCCCCGCCTCCGCCTCTCGCCTTGGGCCCCCTCCTCCCGCCGCCGCCGCCCCCGTCCAGCCGGCCGCCCGGAGCGGGAGCCACAAACCGCGGTCCAGGCGGCCAATAGGTGGCAGTTGGTTGGCCAGGGTCGACCGCCGGGGCTTAGATGCGCGAATGGGCGCGGGCCCGGGACGCCGGCCTCGCTCCGCCCCCGGGCTGTGGCAGGGCCTCGGACCCGGCATCGGGGCAGGGGGTCTGGGGGAGGGGGGAGACAGAGCAGGCACATGCATGTTTGTGTGCATCATGCACACATGGATGGGTGGGCTTGGGCTTGGGCGTGTGTGTGCGTGTGTGTGTGTGTGTGTGTGTACATACGGCCGGGCGGCGGGCCGAGGGGGGCGGATAAATAGGGCGATGTGCGTGTGCCACATCCCTGTCCCCGCCGGACGCCGAGGACCAAAGGGGAAAAGTGGCGATAACTCCACAATAATATAAAATAAAATGAAAAAAGATTGACAATAATATGGACAATTCTTGGGGGATATTAATAGTGCCGCCGGTGCTGTCCCCCTGGCCCCCCGGCCCGGCCCCGGTCTCTGTCCCCCCCGCCCCGCATGTGCATGTGCGTGCGTACGTGTGTTATGGGCGTGCATCTTCTCGCCCTCATTGTTTCTCCGTCCCCATGGGTTCGGAGCGCCTGCACCCACCCTGGCGCGGTCTTCGCGCCCCGCTCTGTCCCGAGGGACGATGTTGTGATTCTTGCGGGGCCTTCGCCCCGCCCTCGCCCCTCGAGCCCTGGCTTTCCGGCGCGGCCAGCCGCTCGGCCCGCCTTCGCTCCCCCCCCCCACGGGGTCCCCCGCGAGGCGGCGGGGGAGCGAGGAAGGCCTAGTCGCCGGGCAACGCCACCGGCGCTCGGGGACACCGCCGAGCCTGTTCCGGGGAAATCTCCACGCCCATTTCCTCCACTGAAGGCGGCCAGGTGGCGACCGGCCTCAGGACTGGCACGTGCACATACACACTGACACACACACACACACACACACAACACACACAAGGGTGCGCCGATGTGCCCGGGGGGGGGGGGGACGGCGATGTGTCCGCAGGAATGCAACCCCATTCCTTGCAAGTGCACCCCCGCCAGCGGGAGCGCGCCCGACCTGTGTTGCGGCCGGAGCATTGTTTTTTCTCGGCGCCCTGGGCCCGCCTGCCCACCCCCGCCAGAGAGAGGGGGTGGCCGCATCGGGGGAGAGGCTCGGGGCGGAGAGCCCGGTGCCGGGGGGGGGGGGGGGGGGCGCAGCGGGGGGTCAGGGCCGTGTTTGCGCTTTGCCGCGCCGGCCGGGGGCAGGGCATGCTCGAGAAAGGCGCACCCGAGCGGGGCCGGTGCCCTGGTGCCCCGGCCGGGCCGAGCAGCAGGTGCGACCAAACGCCGGCCTGCCGACCGGCCTAAACACGTTGGGAGGCAAGTAACGCGCGCACAAGCCCCGGCGGTGCCGGCCAGCGGGCAGAGGGGCGGAGGCGCGGGGTCCGCCAGCCTGCGGCGCCGTCGCTTTGAAGGTCAGTCGTCTTTAGCCCTGTGGGGAGGGAGGGGGGGGGGGCGGCAGGGCGCTCGCGCGGAAGGTCGACCGCCATGCGGCTCCGCGTCTATTCCCCACTATCAACATTAATTCGGCCCCCCCCCCCCGGCGTTCCACTAACGTGGCGAGCGGTGGGTGCCCGGTGGCGTGCGCTTATCGTGTGTCCTGGTGAGTGTTTTTACCTTGCCTTCCGGGGAGCGCATCCGGGCGGAGTCGAGGCCAGGAGTGACCTGTTCCCAAAGGGCCTTCAGAGAGGGAGGTGCGGGGGAGGGGGGCGCGAGTTACATGAGCTTCTTTCCACGAGGCTGACGTGTGCACGGGCGCGAGTGCGAGAGGCCTGCGTTGAATTTCGCAGCCATGCGCGGCCGCCTACTTGGAAGGGCGTCTACGCGGGGCTCACCCCGCTCCCCCCCCCCCCCCCCTACGGACCACCCCCGGCCCGCCGCCCTCGCGAGTCTACTGGCAAGCGGGGAGGGGGGAGGGCCGGGGGGCGGGAGCGGGAGCGTCCCACCCGGGGCCGGTCAATGCCGGCCCTCGCCCAGTTGGGCCCCGCCGCCTGACCCTCGCCTCTGCGTGTGTGTGTGTGTGTGTATTTTGTGTGAACGGCGAATATAGCGCCCAGCCCCGGACAAATAGATCCACGCGTGCTGGGGCCGAGCGACTGCATGCGCGGGCCGCTGTTGCGGGCGCACCGACATCTGAGCGTACCAGAGCCCAGGTGTGCGCGGGCGTATCGCCCCCTCCCCCCCCCCGGGGAGGGGGGGGGCGGGGCCGGGGCAGGGGCCTCCACGGCAGAGCGGGCTGGCCGAGGAATGTGATTGGAGGGCGAGCGGCCGCGCCAGCCGGACACAGGGGGGCGGGGCGGGCGGGTGTGCCTGGCTCCTCGCCCGAGGCGCCCCCCCCCCCCCCCAGGGCTTGGTGGCGGATGCGCGCCACACCATGGCGAGGCCCGGCCCGCCAAGTAGTCGTGCCGCGCCCCGGCCCGGGGCAGGACATCGTTGAGCTTGCCGGCTCTCCTGCCCGCCAGCGGAGAGCCCCGCCCCGGCAATCACAGGGGCACATTCCGTTCCAGGGTTGCGGGGATCTCCAGTCCGGGCGGCGATCCGCCCGTTTGCCCTTCCTGCGCCGGGCCGCCCCCGCCTGTGGCCCTTTCCTCCCGGCTGCCCACGCACATCCTCCCGAAGCCGTGTGTTCCCAACAAGAACACACACAGCCAGCCGCGCAGGGCCTTTGTGAAGGACCACCACGAGGAGGGACACCGCGGCCCAAGGCACCGCGCGTATCGGTCACCGGCCGCTGCCGGTTCCCCCAGGGCCCGGCCGAGACACCCCTCTCAGGATGAGCCGGGGGTTAACACACACACACACACACACACACGCGCACATAGGCTCCCTTCTTCCTGCATGTCTCTGTCCGGCAAGCAGGCCAGCCGATGGAGGGGGGGGGGCGCCAGAGAGGCGCCCGCCACTTCGCCGCATCACCCGCCCGAAGCCCAGACACAAGGGCTTTTCTGAGAGTTCCCACCCGGTGACCCCACCCCCCTTCCTCCGGCCCCTTCGTGTGTGTGTGTGTTTAACACCGCACGCCTGCTGCCGTCCCACCCTTGCCGGCAGTTTGGGGCGCGCCCCGACCCCCACCCCCTCCCGTGTTCGCCCTCCCTCCGGCGCTCGGCGAATCACCCAACCACCATCGCTGGTGGTTTTGGGCGCGCCCGGGATCCGGTGGGAGATGCGCTGCCGTGGCTTGATGCGTGGGCACCTCGTTACCCACCCAACCCCGCCGAAGGCCCAGGGAGGGGGGGGGGGAGGGCAGCGGCGTTCCCCACATCCGGCCAAGTGTCCCTCGCTCCCGCCGCGGCGGAGGGGAACACCGGCACCCGGGCGCGCATCGGCCGGGAATCCGGCACCAAACGCCGCAAACTCGTGCGCTGCCGACCAACAAGAAGAATAGCGAGCCCCACCACACCCACAGTCACAGCCCCCC